AATGGGAGTTTGTAGGGACAGAGCAGTGTAACAAGATTTACCTGGTATAACAGGAGGAACAAAAGAATCTGTGGGTCCAAACACTAAAGCAATGAGCCACTGGACTGCACCTAACATAGGAGACATGGAAATACAGACAAAGTGGAAAGAACAGAGCTAGGGCAGAGTTAGGGGAGGTTCCATGAATCTCAGTGATGTTTACAACTGTCCTAATGAACCAACAAGTGAAGAGTATGTGGGAGAACCTGCCAGCTTACAGAGAAGACAGAGGGTTTGGAGCTACCAACTAGGCAGTGTCAGTGACAGGGTAACTGTCCAGGAAAAGAGTTCCCAGGGTGTCTATGACCTGCATCAAGGCTGGCACTGCCATTTCTCTCACCTTAGTTCCAGGCCTGACTCCAGAAAAAGTCTCAAAGAAGGAATCGGCATCAAGAACCTGGAAAGTTAGATTCAGAATTACGGAGGGTTGATATCTCAGAGCAATGCTCGAAAAGGTATGTGCTCTGAGCTTGTCTGACATAAAGCAACTGCAGCTCAGGGAGCCAAGGGTGGTGGCCCTTGGTCGGGGTCATCCACAGAGACTCTTCTCTCGGGCCCAGAGCTCAGCCAGAACCTTGCAGTCCCATTGTCAGTCCCTCTATAAGGTGGAAGTCTTGGAATCCTTGCATTCCTGACAGGGATTTCAGCCCCCAGCATTAACTGATAATATGTTTATAAAGATTTACTGAATAAATAAATGAAGTAAAGGGACTGGGAAAGCTCTAAAGGTAAAAAAACTCAACAATGATAAAATAGGAGTATTTTTGAGTAGCAACACTATGTGCGTTAAACCCACACAGGAGCTGAAGACAGAGAGCAGAGACTTTGTAAACCCAAACTGATTCCTTTGCTTAAAATTCCTCAATGACTCCCTACCAAAATCAAGGTAAAACATGAGTCTCTTAAGGAAGTTCACAAGGCTTCCTGAGCCCTGGCCCTTCCCTACCACTGCAGTCTTGCCTTTTGTTAGCCTCAGCCCCACGCTTTCCACCCCAGGCTTACCTACCCTTCACTCTGTATTCAGTCTATAGCCAAGTGTTTCTTTCACAGATTTTCTTCCACCCTTCCATTTGCTTTTATCACTTAATGTTTCACTAACAGCTGGATATATTCATACTTGACACTTTATATGCATGATCTCATCTAAGCCTCTCAACAAATCTGTGAAAAATGGGTAATTATACTTATTTTACAATAAAAGGAGCTGAGGCTGAAAGGTTAAGTAACTTGTCCAAAGTGAATACTCATTCCAAGACATGTTCCCTGTACCAGGAATCCCATCAGTCAGTTCCAAAGACAACCAGCAGGCACAAGATGGCAGGGCTTATCACTAATTCATCATAGTTTAATAACTCAGAAACAAAGAGTAGTGAGAGAAAAAGGAGGCAAAGTCCTAACAGGGGTATGAAGGGAAACTGGCTCCTGACAGCCAGCTCATTCTGATTGGCCTACAACTTTCCCATCTATCACTGAAAGTCCCACATCCCAGATAATTACTAGCCCTTGTTTTAAAACTGAAATGTTAAAAAAAAAAAAAAAAAAAAACCTGAAATGTTGGGACTAGGGAGATAGCTTGGTGGCATAAGCACCTGACTAGCAAACACAAAGTCCCAAGTTCGATCCCTGGTACCACATGCCATGCCAGCTCTGAAACCAGATGTGGTGGCGCACACCAGTAATCCCAGCACTGAGTAGGCTGAGACAAGATGATCACTACAGGTCTGAACAGTGTAGTGAGACCCTATACCAAAAACAAAAAAACAAAACAAAAAGAAAAAAAACCTGGAATATCTCCATCCTCAGTCCAAAGCAAATGAGCTTGTTTAGTCATCCTAATTCAAGTCAGTCTCTTCTGTCCATCCAACGAGATCGCCAATGACAGGATAACCCCATGGGGATTCACTCAGATGCAGCATTAATGCTACAATTCAAATAATCAAACAGTTACAGCAAAAGCTCAAAAAATGGAAATAAGGAGGAGTCCCACCATAGACAACAGCTGACCTGAATCAAGCTAGAGAAGAAAATAAAAGGGGCCAGAAGAGAAACTCAAATCCAAAATCTCTGGCTGTCTTATTTTAAGTTGTATTTCTAATTCCTAGCACAGTTCCTGGAACATAGCAAGTACTCAGTGCAGAATGAATGAATGAATGAATGAATGAATGAATGAATGAGCCAGCACTATTAAATGTCAACCATTAAGCACCAAGAGCACAGCCTCCCACTAAGTGGAACCCAGCCCAGTGACACAACTTATAAAAAAAACCAGTTGGATCCCTGAGAGATGTAAGTGGTCAAATGAAACATCCCTCTGGAGACAGGCATGCGCTGGAAGGAGCAGCCAGCGGGAACTGTGCTCGAGGCCTCACTGCGCAGGCGTCCTGGGAGAGAAGCAGCCCTTTGAGGTCCAGCTGTTTTCTTTTCTCGCAGGGTGGACTCGACTTTTGGCAAACACGGCCAAGAAAGCAAGGCTTTCACGGAGCCTCCTCCAGAAGGCTTCACTGTGAGGAAGTTTTCATCAGTGGGCAAAATTCAAGACGAGTCAAGAAGGATTTGTATTAGGCAACCACTTCCAACTTGGAGAAAACTTTTCAAAGTATAATCATTCTAGCGGCGGCAGATGGGGGGGGGGGGGCGCTCCATGGTTAGGCCTGGAAAGCAGCAGCAGCACCACCTTGTGGCACTTTTGAGAACACCACAGGGCGTTCAGTCCCTTTGCCCTTCCAGGCACACACAATCCACAATTTCTGAGAATTCACAACTTTGGTGTCTTAATACGGACATCTGCTGGGCTATTTAACAATCCAATCTACTGCTTAACCTTTATAAAGATCAAAAACTTAAAATCAATCCCCAAATTCAGCATGGAGGTAGTGACATGTAACCTTTGTTTTCAGAAGACTGAGATTCCCAGAAAAAAAAATGCACATCGGCCGAGCTAACTGGTGTGCAACGCACAAGTTCAGATTACAGAAACACTGCACTGCACAAGTCTGCCACCTTTACCCACTGAGGCTCGCCTTCCTCGCACATACAATTTTTTTAATTAAATGTTTTTGAGGGGTCAGGGAGACGGCTCAGTAGAATAAGCGCTTCCCTGGCAAGCACAAGGGCCTTAGTTCAATCCGCGGTTCTGCAAAAAAAAAAAAAGTTTTTGCTCATTCAACAAATGTTTATTGAGCGTTCCTTAGGACCCCATCCCTGTAGAGGTACTGGATGTACAACAGTGATGAAAAGAAATATGCTGGCTGTCTGCTACGGTGCTTAGAGACCAGTGCAGGAGGCGGCACGAGGAAAATAATCGCTGAACTGCTCCTGCCCTGCGGAGTGCTCAGAAGGAGAACACAGGTGTGATGGGACAAGGAATATGACGGAGTCCAAGGGGTCAAATAAAGCTCTTCCTATGATGTGTTCAGAGGAAACCCAGGTCTGAGCTCCTTTCAGACATTTCCAAGAACAGGAACTTTCAAGGTTCCTGATGGGAGCTAATTTTTGTGTACTGTGGGGTTTGAATGCCCCCTGCCAGCAGTTAGGGTTCTTGGTTTTTTTCTTTTTTCTTTTTTTCAAAACAGGGGATTGAACTCAGACCTTTGCACTTGTCAGGCAAGTGCTTATTCTACTGAGCTATCTCCTCCGCCCAGCAGTAGGGTTCTTATCTGGCTCCTTTGCATTCCCTTTGCCCATTCAACACACATGTGCACATGCACACATATCTAAATTCACACACACATACAACTGATTTCTCATCTCTTTATGCTGAAGAGGGAATTAAATTATACGCAGACGAACTGCAGTCAGTCGGATGCTCCGGTAGGGAAGAGTAGAAAGGCTCCTTAAAAGAAAACCTTATCTTCAAGGTTCAAACAAGCTGGGTCTGTAGAAAAGCAACTGAGTTTGCCCGAGGGCAGCGAGTCTCCAGCCTGTGGGAGGGAAGATGAGGTTACAGCTCAGCGCAGCAGGGAGACTTCATAGGTACAGAGATTCAGGCTTGAAAGAAGGCCTTAAGCCTCACTCCCTCCTGATGTTTGAAGGAGGATGACAGACTGCGCAGGAGTCTTAAATCAGACAGACATGGCCTCTAACCCCTGTTACAGCATGATTTGCCAAATTCACTTCTCTGAGCCATTTCATCATCTGTAAAATGAAATTAGGAATCTCTATGCTGCAGAGAGCCTCAAAGTCTATTGTAGTCCCCCCAACCAGGCTTGGCCCCCTAAAACCACAGACCACTTGCTCTATATGAGAGAACCAAGTATGGTTGGCTCACTGTTTCTGAAAAACAATGATTCAAAAGTCAGAATTTTAAACTTGTGGGCCAGCCAAATAGCTCAGCAGATTAAAGCACCTGTAAGCAGGCACAGGGGCCGGGGATTTGATCCTTGTGCCTGCTGTGCCGGCCTCACCCCCAGGGACTGGGCATGGTGGCGCATGCCTGTAATCCCAGCTCTTGGAAGGCTGTAAACAGGCGGATCAGTATGAGTCCGATCTAGTAGTGATCCTGAACAACCTACAGACCCTTCCCTAAAATACAAATAATAATAATAATAATTTTAAACTTGTGTTAATGTTGTCTAGTAGATGTTTTCAGCTAGATGTGGTGGCACATGTGTCTGTATTCACAGAACTCAAGAGACTGAGGCAGGAGGATTGAAAGTTCAAAATCATTTTTTCTGGGATAAGATAAAAATCTCAGTGTTGTCTTAATCTGCACTTCTCTAATGTCCAGAGACGTTGTGTATTGCTTGGTTCTTTGTACTTCTTTTATGAAGTGTCCATTAATTTCACCAGCCCATTATTTGAATGAATCTTGTATTTTGGGATTCCTACAGATGAACACGTGAAGAAAATGTGAAATTTATATACAATAACACATTCCTGCACATAAATAATAAATGAGTCATTTTTAGGAAAATGGATGCACTTTGAGACCATGATACCAAGTGGAGTAAATCATCATACAAATACTTACCTGGCAGGGGAGAGACCATGACCACCAAGGTGGTTTCCCAGAGTGAGACTCACCCACTGCACTCCGGATGTGTTGATCCCTGTGAACTCTTCAAATGCAGGAAACTCAACTACATAATTTGTAGTAGCTGGGGACTGTGTTTGTGCTTTCCCCTGTTAAAAAAAAAAAAATCATACATACAAGCTCACATACCACATGGTGACTCATACAAAAACCCAAAATATGAATTTAAGAGCCAACAAAAGATAATAAGAAGTAGGGAGATAGATCGGTTTGTTTTATTTTGAGACAGAGTCTCCCTGCATACTCCCGACTGGCTATTATGAGCCACCACATCCAGCTTGGAAGATAGATTTTTCTCAAATGGGAAAGAGACCAAGTGATGGGGGGAAGGGGAGAGAGAAGGGAGCAGGGATTAAAAAAAAAGTAGTCACGATGTGCTATGTACATGTATCAACTTTGCACGAAGAATATAAACATGATGTACTACAAACATGTACTAATAAAAACATGCTATGATTAAATAAAGTTCAAGACTGCATGGGCTACATGAGACCCTACCCCTCTCACCCCCCCCAAAAAAAATAGAAAGATTTTTTTAAAACATGCTATTTTTCATCGTGATTAAACATAAAATAAATCACTGAATAAGTAAAGCGGTAGGGACAGCTCATCCTCACAGAAGAATACTAACTGGAAATATAAAACAACCATTAAGCAAAACAACAACTCATAACTGTTTTGTTTTGTTTTTTCATTTGTGTATTTGGCGAGCCTTCTGTTTTCAGCCTCCCCAGCACTGGGATTACAGGCATGTGTCACCATATCTGGACTCTGTCGCCGGCTCAGCACATCCCTGCGCTTGCCTAAGCAGTAGCTCAGTCCACTGAGCTATCTCACCAGCCCTAACAATTCATAATTGTTAGAAGCAAGACATTTATCACTTTGACCAGAAAAACAGTAACTTCACCATGAAGAACCTGGCAAACACCACATCTGCCAAGAGACTGATGTTAACATGACAAGCAATAGGACAGATCCACGTCAGTGAGATGGTTCCAGAAAAGTGTGTGACCTTTTTGCACATATTCTCATCAAAAAACCATAGAACCTTGCGTTGATCATAGGAAAACATCCAGCAAACCCAAATTGGAGTCATCCTACAAAATGACTGACCTGTATTTTTCAAAACTGTCAAGGATATAAAAACAAAAGGCCTGAGAGACTCTCATAGACTGAAGAAAACTAAGAAGTCATGACAACTACATGCAGTGCGGAGAACTAGACTGGGCTCTGAATTATAAAATAAAGATCTGGTAACACTCAAATAATGCCTCTAGATTAGTTGATACTAACACAGGGGCATTAATTTTTTGAGCTATTTAGTTATGAAAAAACTTCTGGAAACAGTTTGAACAATACAAAAGAATGTGAAGTAGAAGTGTCCCTCCTGAAGTACTACCTCCTCTAAACCACTACTGTTAATAGTTTGGTGGTTTTTGCATGTATATAAAAACCAAGCCAGGCATGGTGGTACATGTCCGTAATCCCAGCACTTGGGGGGCTGAGACAGGAAGATCACTGTGAGTCCAGCCTGTACAAACTGAGTTCAAGGTCAGCCAGAATTACATAGTGAAACCCTGTCTCAAAAAGACAAAAAAGGGGCCAGGGAGATGGCTCAGTAGAATAAGTGCTTCCCAGGCAAGCACAAGGGCCTGAGTTCAATCCCCGGTTCCGCCAAAGAAAGACAGAAAAAAAAAAAAAAAAAAAAAAAA